CAGAAATGAAAAGCTGGGCATGGGGCAGGTTGGTGGGGTTTTTTTTCTTTTTGAAGGGAAGCATATCAGCTTCCACTGGCCGAGGGGCGACGCATGCTCAGTGGCAGCTGGCTTTTCCTCTGGAGGAACGGTGCGCGTGCATTGAGGGCGCTTTGAAGAGAAGATGGGGAGGGTAGCCCCCTTCCAAAGGGGTGAAGAAGGGAAGAGTGGAATGGGTTTATTTCTTCCCCCCCCCCAACAGGGTGATAGTTTCTGTGGCTCTTTGTATGTAAGAATGCAAGCCAAGGATCAGCAAAGAAGTGGAGGTGGTGCCTTCTGGACTTAAATTTGCTAAAAGTAGCAGTTAATGATGCCATTGTCTTTATTTAATGTACAAGATTCATGCACCACATGTGCTTGACCGGGCTGGATTTTAGGAGGTGCACACTTTAAAAACTTGAACTAAAATATTAAAATGCAGTAATGAAGCAGCTACTACAGTATATGGCATTATACTGTGACTGAGTGGCTTGATTACTACCTGAGATTAAAAACATGGCCATTGTTTTAGGAGGTAAAATGTCAACTAACTTTCTTCCCAATGACATTGACCATACGTCCGCATTCTGAAGGTTGGGAGAATAGTTTTATGTACTGCATCAGTATGTAGTATTTCATAGATTAGTAATGTAATATATTTAAAGTACAGATCACCACAGCTGAACCTTCAGAGTAAAATGAATGGGAAAAGAAGTGAAGCAGTAAAAGTTTTTGACTGAAAGACTTAGGTATTGTTTTGGATGCAGTAAAACATTAGTATCTACAGGTGTCACATCAAAAGTTGAAATAGTCACGATGGAGTTCAACCTTTAGTAGAACGGGGACAAGAAGAAGTACGTACTAGCCTCAAAAGCACAATGGCTAGCTTGTAGACACAAAGTAGCCAGCAGTTTTATGTGAAATGTACTGTGGTCATAACTGCACTTTGATCTAGTTTGTATTTATTCACAAACCAATTGTAATACTGTAACTTCATTAGGGCTACAGTTGCAAACTGAAGGCCATCTATTGTGCAATGGAGAAAGCATTTACCGTACTTAATTTTTTCATAACTTTTTATGAGATAATCATGTTAATTGAAGCAAAACAGCAAAGGATTTGTTTGGTGTAAGGTTTTGTGGACTATTGTTATGTCTCACCAAGTCAGAACGAACTTATAGTGACCCTAATTAGGCTTTCAAGGTATTTAGGTGTTCAAGGTATTTAAGGGATGACTTTAACCCAGTGAGTTTCAGTGGCTGAGCAGGGATTTGAACCCAGGCCTCTTGAGTCCTTGTCCATCACTCTATCCACACACAGAGTATCCAGTGGCCCACAGACCACTGTGGACTAAAAGCCTTGAAAACTTAGGACAAACAAACCTTGCTAGTTTTCAAGGTGCTCCAAAATTCTTAGACCAGTATCATGTTTCCTCTGAATTATATGTGATGCCTTCAGTTACATATGTAAGCTCTCCTTTTAGTCTTTCGTGCAAGGGAGCATTAATAAAACTTCTTGCAGGAATCATTTGCAATGGGGTGACCTCAGGCGTATGTGAGGCAAGATCAAGATCACCAGAGTAGATCCAAAGTACTCCAGATCTGGAGCTGGTATATTGCATATTTTCAGAAAGGATCCTGTCCTTAGTAATTTTCAGAATTTATTTGAAAGCATATTTGAATAAGTGTGCCTAAGGAGCACCAAGATACCTATACTGTTTTATGGTAACTGGTATGAATATTGAATAAATGATGATGGAGTGTATGGGATTAAATTGAAAGCACATTATCATAACAGTAATAAAAATGAAGTTTAAAAAACTCAAAAAGCAGCAGACAGATGACTCACTGTGAGGACTCGAGTAGTCTTCACCTGTTGCATGCAAGAAAGAGTTTGAAACAGTTATTTTCTGTGATAATAATGATCTTGGAACTGCAGCGCTGTAAGGGACTCTATGGATCATTGAGTCCAACTCCCATCCTCTGACTTCATAGCCAGATGCCTAAACCACTGAGTTATCCAGCAGTTCTTGATAATTTCCAGAACTCCATGACCTGCATGGGAGTCGTACTTTACAAACTGACTTTTCCAAGCTGTGGTAGAAGGTAGAAACATTAGTGCCAGCTATGTCTTTCTGGGTAGGGTGCTCAGAGGCAAGGTGCTACTCCAAGAGAAACCATATTCCTTTTTTTTTTTTTTACTTAATCTGTGTAGTTACAAACCCTGTCGTTGATATGTTTGGACATGTATACGATTATGGATAACAAATAGGGCAAAATAATTGTTTTAAAAAGACATTCATTTCTGCAACCTAACAAAAATTGAAGAATTTTACTGCAACAAATGCAAATCTTTATGTAGGACTGAAACAACCTAGGATTCAGCCTGATTGTGTTCAGACTTTTAATAGTTAACAGAAGTCCTAAAGTATTGTGACAAAACATGCAGTACAAATCAAGTGAATTTATACATCCAGGTTAAATTAACTGCATGCTTCCCTTGCTTGCAGAATTTTCCCGCTAATGCATTAAGTCAAATGAGGAACTTCAGCCCTCTGCTTTGGAGAACATTATAAAACCAGTTGATAGATTGGTCTGATCTGTTGGGTAACATATAGGTTTGTGTGTCTCTTTACTTTCTAAAAAAATACTGTTACAAATAGCTGTCAGATAAGATTCATATTTAAGTGTTAAAAGTTTGACAGTAGTAAACAGCTACGTATTTCCACAGTTACCAAGTGAAAATTGCACTGGGATTTGCTTCCTAGACTATTTTAATTGACTCCTTTCTTACATCGTTGGACAAGTAAGCTTGTCCATTGCCTTATTTACTATGTTATTCTTTGCCATCCTGTTAAAGAGAAATTCTTCCTGGGCGAATGCTCATGTGGGCAAATTTAGCATAATTACTATTGAAACCTGAATATAAGCAGCAACATTATTCTGTGATTAAGTTGTACTTTGTCAGGAAGAGATGTCAGCTGTGTTCTATAGTTTACAGAAATGATGTCAAGAGAAATGCAGAATAATAGTGTCTTAGCATGTAATAGGTAAACCCCTATTACCAGTATTAGTTTTAATCCTTAAATCTTTGCTAGCAAGGAATATGTTTGTTCTGTGCCTCATAAGGAGCAATGGGAATGGGTCTGATCTTGATTGGCTATGTTGAATTCATCATCTGTTTGCTCTGGGTTTTATTTTGTGATACGGACACAGGCTTTGTGATATGAACACATGAGGTGTATGTGGTAGAGTTGTTCAGCATGTCATTTGATGTGTTATTTCATGATTGCCAAGGTGTTTAGAAGTGGCTGTACAATTTCCTTGTAAAATCAATACATGTGTTTGGGAAAAACCTCAGTATTGATAGATGATGGCCCAAACCCTGTTAGTTACACTTGGTAATAGAAATCCATTAGCATAAAAATCAGTAGTGAATTGCTGCAAGTTAAGAAGTTAATATAAACATTTGCTGTTGCCAACAATTATATGACTTAATATGTGCCAGCAAATGCTTGTGCTGTCATCGTAACTTGGGACTATTCACTGAAAATTATGCTAGTTTAATTACTTGTGTGATTATGCTGGTATAATTACTGGTGTAATTTTTCAGTTGATTTCAGTGCTTAAGATTTCTATGTTTGTCGTCATAAATGAGAAAAAGTTGTCCATGTCAGCTGAAGTGTCTTAAGTGACCGCACATACAGGGTTCCTGCTAACAGTATAATCCGTTAAAATGCCAGAGAATAACTGGCCCACAGATTGCTACATTGCTCTGTTGATTCACACCCAAGTCTTATGCCTCTTAAAGGTGAATGGGCTTAGTAGTGGATTTATTTATTTACTTCATGAAGAACTAGTATGGGTAACAAATTATGGAAGTGACAGTGAATATAACTCTAGTAAGATGCAATATAATGATCATCCAGATCAATAGAAAAACAAAACATAGAACTTTGGCTAGGTTTTGGGCAATAGAACTGACTTTACCAGATGAGGTAACTAGGTTAGCTGCCTTATATATTAGTTTAAGTCATTTAGATCAGTGGTCCCCAACCTTTTCCCAACCGCAGACAGGTTGGGGTGTGTGTATCATGCTAGTGGGGGGGGGCGTGTTGCGCTTGCAGGGGGCATGTTGTACTCACAGGTCGTGTGCTCATGCGTGGGGCGCACTCGTGGGGGGAAGATCTGTGTCCGTGGCCTGGTCCTGCCCATGCTGCAGACCGGGTGTTGGGGATCCCTGATATAGGTGATTCACCTAGTTTTACTGAAAAAAAAGCACACAGCATAGTGATGATCTTTATTGTGTAAGTCACTGTGTATGTTAAAGGTTTTTTTTTTCTAAAGCGGATTGTAGCTGTAAAGGTTTCTAAGGTACTTCTGCAAAAAAAAAAAAAACCCCACACAAAACAAACTATGAGTCTGGGAATAATTTGTGGGCTAACCTTTTATCTAATCCAGTAAACTGTGGCTCATGTCACATATGAAAGATAAAATCCAGCTGGCAGTCCTGTGCAGCCTTTCTCAGCAAGCATTTTTCTATTGATTTTCCCACTTCTTTGTTTGCTGGCTGTAGTTGGAAGTTCATATGCAGTTATTGACTTTTCAGTCAAACTTGTTATGTTTCTCTATGGGAAAAAATGCAGTCAGCAAGTGCTTCTGAGGTCTAGGTTAATAATATCAATGGATTGATGAAGGCTCATAAAGCAGAATAATGTTTTAGGTACACATTACCTGGAGCAGCACAGAAACAGCCAAAGAGGTGTCAGTATCCACATTACTTAAAATAACTTGTACTGTACAGTGAAACTAAGTCCTGTTGAAACATGGAGTTTTACTTTAGGAAAATATGATAGTCTTGCACTGTGGATCATTTTGTCTTCCAGGTGAAAATGCTTTTGGAACCTTAACATGAAGTGTGAAGTTCAGTCCTTGTAAATGGCCTTCCTATAGACAAAAATGAAAACAAAGGTATTATGGGGCCTTTAAAACTAACAGTATTTCAGAAATGAAATTGTTTGTAGGAGACTGGAAACCAGTAGTTTTTGGCTGAGTGACTCCTGGAGGGAGTGCATGTGTTAAGAAGCTGGTCACTGTGATCTGAAACATCTATATGTAGGAGAGGATGAGGGAGAAGGAACTGTGATTTCTAAAAATTAATTTCTGAACCTAACATTCAAAGTCTGTATATATCAATCCTATTTGTATATGAAGTTAGTAAAAACAGAAACCACATGAACAGATATGTTGGATTTAAGGGTCTGTAGGTTTAGCATGGTGCTCTAGACTGATAGCAAAAGAACAATGCAGAAAATATGTTGTTTCTTCAAGATGAACTTCATGTCCTATATTTCTGTCAGGCAGTTTTCTGTTCATATACTGACCTGAACTGAATCTGCTTTGGGAAAGAAAAATGCTTAATTTGATAAATGGCTTGATATCTGGCACTTTTATGTGCTGTGAAGTTTAGGATACTTCTTTGGAATGCCTGCTATTAGATGAGGGACAAGGCAATGTGAATAAGGAGCAGAGCCCTATATGACTTTCAAAACAATCCTTTTTAATTCCTAGTTCTGGATTTTGAAGATTACATTCTTGATGGGTCACTTCTGTTTTAGATTAGTGGAAAGTGAAACATTTTTTCTGTCAAGGGCTGAATTTTCTCAGAGGTACTATGTTCAGAGACAGCTACAGCTGGGTAGGGCTGAAGACAATGATATTGTGAGGCTGCTTATGTTTACTATCCGTTTCCCTGCTTACTAGGCTACATGGAGACGAACAGATGACTGTATCTAGAGGCTTCAACTGATTACTTATAGAACGATTCTGAAATTAGGTTGAGGGCTGCATGGAACTAAGCTGAGGACAACAAGTTGCTTGTGCCTGATGTTGATAGGTGTACATATAGGGGAAAGCCATAATTCAAGGATGAAGCTTATGCTTTGTATGCAAAATGCATGAGTTTCAGTCTTTGGCATATCAAGCTGGGCCTAGTAAAGATTGCGATCTTAAGACTGAATAGTTTCTGCAGGTTACTGTAGGCAATGCTGAGCTAGATGGACCAATGGTTTTATGTGTTATAAGGCATGGTCTTGTGTTTCCAGATTCTTCCACTGAGAATAAACTCCAAGAGTTTGGTGAAAGCAGACTCATTGTACAAGCTTTCTCCAGCCTGTGTTCCTCCACATGATTTACTGTGTTTCCCTGAAAATAAGATAGGGTCTTATATTAGTTTTTGCTCCAAAAATTCATTAGGGTTTATTTTCAGCTGATTTTTTTTATGTACAACAATCTATATTTATTTAAATACAGTCCTGTCCTCTTCTTCCAGTTGCTGCACAAGGATGGAAGGCAGGGTTTCACTTCACTGGGGCTTATTTTTGGGGTAGAGCTTATATGACAAGCATCCTGAAAAATCATACTAGGGCTTATTTTCAGGTTAGGTCTTATTTTACTGGAAACAAGGTAGACAATTGCTTCCCAACCTGGGTACCCAGGTGTTCTTGAACGACATCTCCCAGAAATCCTGACCATCACAGCTATGGTGAAGGCTTCTGGAAGTTTTAGTCCAGGAACATCTGAGGACCCAAGGTTAGGAACTACTGATCTACAGGATAAAAAGTTGAGACCCACTTCTATAGCTGATAGAAAGTTGGATGGATCAATTGTATGCATATATGTTTCAGTCCAAGAAAATCTGGGGACCCAAGTTTGGGAAGCATTGGTTTAAACTGCAGCTTTGCTCAGCTGAAGTGAACACAGCTGATGGTCAGGGATGGTGGAAGTTGTGGTGTAAAACATCTCTAGCCATAAAGTTTAGCGAAGTCTGTATTATTCTTTGCTAATTCATCTGTGCCACTGAAGTATAATATAGATTTTTTTTTTGCTTCTGTATGTTACATAGCTATGTTGTGCAACTTTTGACTTTGCTCATTAAAACTCAAGGAAAGCTACTGAACACCAAAGGTTTTCTGTCTTCATAGATTTCCTCAGCATTCCATTTCTTGGTCACTCTTGGGTATGCCTAAGAACAGAAAAAAAGCCCTTTTCTCAGTTTGGAAATGTGTGATTTTCTTGACAAGCTTCTCTGAGTTGTTTTAGAAAGTGTAGTGGCCCTGTTCTTGCTCAGACTGCGTGGATTCCTGAATGTTAAAGAACTATTGCTTTTTGTTGTCACTAAGTACAGAGCTCAGTCCATTGTAGTTTCCTGTCTATTTGGATAAATGACAACTTGTTTTTTAAAAAATCTGCAAATCTTAAATTATTCAAATTTTCAGAGTATCTTCTTTTATTTTTAGATGAATCTGCGTTCTGTATTTACTGCAGAACAACAAAGGATATTGCAGCGTTATTATGAAAATGGAATGACAAATCAGAGTAAAAATTGCTTTCAGCTCATATTACAGTGTGCACAAGAAACTAAGCTGGACTTCAGTGTAGTCAGGGTAAGTACCGAGGTCTTCCATGGTCACATTTACATAACAGTTTAACAAACACGTCTTTGCTTATTTATCTGCAGGGCATGGGAGGTTGAGAAGCTGAAGGTTTCATTGGAGAAGAAAACTTGTGCTTCTTTTCCCTTTCTGTTGACAGCTCTTTGTAGTCTTTTCTGTTGTTTGAGATAGCGCCTTGAAGTGCTTTCATCTTCTCCAAGCAACATGAGTCTTTTTAACATCTGAAGTTGGCACTTTTGTTGAAAATCTGGCTTTTGTACCTCTTTGAAAATGTTCTTGTCATCTCTCTATTTTGGATGCTTAATTTTTAAAAATTAGATTGAAAGGAGCATGTAGGAATACCCATTACACTTTGTATAGTAATAGACATTTAAATCATCATAGATATGCATCCATGAATTTAAAGCTTAAGTACAGTTAATGCGTCTTTGCAACTACCTGTGTTATTCAGGTATGTTTGTCTGTCAGCCATGAGCCCTACTTCATAGTTAACTTTAGGTTTGCCTCTGTATAAAACATGAGAGGTTTAATGGTATTGCATAGCATTTATGTGCATCAAGTCGTATAAACCATAGTGATTTAATATAAGTATACTAAACTAGGGGTATACAGGTCAGGGTGTTTTTGTTTTTTTACAAGCTTAAGACACACCTACTGTAAGACTGCTCCTTCAGAAAATATCCATCTTTTTTTCCTCCATGACTGGTAAGAATGGGACAGGGAATGTTTTTGAACTGGAACTTTGAGAGCTAGCTTGAATACTGTGAAAAATCTCTTGATTTGAAGTGTTACGGTTTTTTCTTTTCAGGGGATTTGCATGATATTTCCACTTAACACACTTCCTTGCAAAAAAGGAAAGACCAATAGGCTCTGGTTTCTTTCATCAGCAGGGGTCATTTCACATTAGTTTGTGTGGATTCCTAATGGAGATAGAGAGAAAAGGTGTGATCCCAAGAGAGAGCTTCTGGCTGAGAGAACAAGCTTTGGCTTTTGTCCTTTCTCAGACAAAATATTTTGACTAAAGGATTTCAGTATATTGTTCTGTGTTGGTCTTTACTATTAGACTATTTAACTCTTATTGGTTTAATGTACAGTTGAACCCCCTGGACTTACTCTGTATATTCTATGAATCTTAAGGGAGAATTAGCAATCCCTTGCTGCCAATTGTAAGAGAAGCTGTTCACATCATTTACTCTGCCTTCCTATACTGTTATGCACCTCATACACTTAGGATCCTCTGGTTCCTTACAATCAGTAACTCTTTTCTTCCCTTCAAGTTGCCTTTCTATACTTCATGACAAACCACTGTACACCTACATAGACATCCAGGGCGAACAGGTCTTTTCACGACAAAGATTATGTCTCCCTCTTAGTCTCAGTAGCATGTGCTTGTATTTAGTCCTAGGTAAGTTATTTTTTTAACCACACATTTCAGTGTGATATGTTCTGTATAGTGCTCTTGTAAAAAGCAAAACACTTGTTCCACAGATCATGCTATTTCCCCCTGCTTGTCCGTTCCAAACAAATGTAAGCAGAGATCAGTAAAAGAATACAGTATCTTTGTCATCTGTAGGTATATATGTGCTTATGCCTGAGGGGTGCTATATTTGCCTTGTAATATATAAAACTAAAATTAAATGAAGCCCATATATTTTGAGTGCAGTATCAAGTAGTGTTGATTGTTCAAAATTAACTCTTGTGTATTTCTTATTAGTAGTTTGTTCAAGTGGTTCTGAGAAGAATGAACCATTCCCTACAATTTGCTGAATTAATCTTACCAAAAGTCGTGATATGTAGTATTTCTATAAATATATGTTTGAGTGATCTTATGAAACCAGACAGTTGTCACTTTAAAGGATCTGTTCTTAGTGATGACCACTTGCAATATGATTGTCTACTGAGAGAAAATACCTGCTAAACTTCTATTCTAATAAGAAATCAGTCCAGCTATGCTTCACAAGTACATCTCAAAGCACCATGTGTTCATTTTGTCATTTCTTCCATTTTGCTTCTAAAAAGGTTTAAGGCCTTCCGGTATTGGTCTCTATTCTGCCTCGAAGTCCTTTTCTTTTTCTTTATTTGCTGTTTAATTTTTATTTTGTTTGGAGTACTCCTGTGTATTCATTTTGGATTTTAGCTTTAAGCCAGAGACCATTTCTTACGTTACAGCTGTATTGTGGATGATGCTACAAATGCTTTTTCATGGGGCAAGCACCTTGCAGTGGCTGTAATGTGCAAAACCCATTCATCAAATGCCTCCCTTATCCTGGAACTTCATCACATCAGCAGGTATATTTTGTCAATATGCTGTAGCTGGTGAGGAGATACTACATACAAATCTTCAGCATAGGAGTTATTCTAATACAGTACATTACAATTCTGTGGTCAACCTTTGGAGTTGGGTCTTAGAAGCTTTTCTGCAATTTGTATGTCTGTATGTAATTATTTTCTAACTAAATCTGACTGCTAAGACACAATTGTCATTGCAAGACAAATTATTCCCTGAGGTGTCAAAACATTAAATTTGGAAAGTATGCATGTTGGGAGCTGATTCTCAGATAATGATAAGCCAGAATTGTTAAGGATTATGGCTTACCAAGAATGATGCTGGTGCACATTGCCCTGTTATTCTTGCTTGCCTCCTACGGTTAACAAGCTAGGAAACCTTTGTTCATATTTTTTAATGTTTTAACCAAGCAGGGAGCCCTATCATCTTATTCTCCTAAATGGGTGGAGCCATAAGATGTAATAAGACCGCCCATCCAGGAAGCTTGACTTGAACATAATACTAACCCAGTGCTGGCAAATGGGCTGTATCTGGTTGTTTCTCGGTTTCCATCATCCTCACTTGCTAATGTAGAACAAAGTGAACTGCTAACATTAAATTGACTCTAAAGTTGTTATCAGCATTTAGCTGTGGTGCATTTTGATTGTAAGTGTGGGGACCTTATTATCTGCTGCTGAATTTTGGAGCATTCGGAATCCTTCAGAAGGAAGAGTGGAGTTACGGGTTTTATTTATTTATTGTTCATTTTCAGTGGGAATAGGAATTGGGATAGGGGTACAGGGGGTGGGGTGGGGAAACAGGTAAGGATTGGGGAGGGATAAAATTCCAGAGAGCAAAAGAGTATTTTTACATCCACTTACACAATTATTGATTTTTTAAAACTTTTTTCATTTTTATATAAGAGTTATTGATTTTTGTGGGGCCGAGTGTCTGGTGGAGTCGTACTAACACTGGAAGATTGGTGGCCCTGTGCTAAACACAGCATAGATAAAAGATTTCTGATTTGTCTAGTTGTACTTGCTGGCAAGAAGTGCCAGTCAAAGATGATACGGCAGCGTTAATCAGCACCCTTGCTTATAGATATGTCCAACGGGTAAAATACCTTTTTTAAATAAAAGTTTAAATCTAGTAGTTGAGCTGATGATAATATATGTGGGTATTTTCTTGTTGGGATTAAAAGGAAGGAAAATGAAACAGAACTTTAAAACTTGCAGAAACTGACATTCAAAGAAGCGGAGGCATTCTGTGTAGCAAGTTTTCCGTAGATTGAAGATGCTTGTTCGTTTTGTTGGTTGTGTGGTTTTTATATTCTTAACTGTTTAAAAGTTATGTGACTTGACTGATGTAAATTGCATCTACCACATATCTCTATGCAGAAGTAATTATTTGTATATAGTTGATAGACTGACTTGACATTCTAAGTATTTTCCATGTGGTAGAGAGCCCAAGCGTTTTCTCCGGTCTATCTTCTGGAGGCAGCTGACTGGAAAAAAATATTCCTTGTTTGCTTTCTTGCAATTTGACAGAAGTTTAATGTGCAGAAATGAAGGATGTGAATGCGAGCAGGTGGCGATGTCTGCACATCACACTGGCATTATATGGACAGCCACTGAAGGTAGTTAAAATATTTGCCGTGCTAGCCCCTAAGAAAAGATGGTGGCCAGAGGGCAGAAGGTCCATGGTGCTAGAACTTAGCCATCTTCTCTAAAGGAAAAAATAAAGAAATAAAGGCAAGGGGGAGGGGACATCAGTAGGTAACATCTTGGTGCTCTGTATGGTTGGGATGTGAAGTACACTAGTAATTGCTGGAAAACTGTAACTGAGAGTAAAGAGGAGCTGCCACTTATTTGCTCTGTTTCATAATGTTACTTTCCTGGGCTTCATTTTCCAGAGTATCCCAGTCAGCATGGGCATGGTCAGGCTGATTGAGGAATCCTGGGGACTGTAATCCAGAAAAATGCTATTTCCAAAAATGCTTGTTCAGGCTTTGCATCATGAAGGCTGCTTTGTGACCCTGTGGTCCGATCTGAATGCCTTTGGATTAGATCCTTTGCTGACCAACCATTTTGTATTTTGCAGACCTGGGTTGGCAACAAAAGAAGAAAGATGAGTAGCAAGAATGTTGTGGATTCTGGAGGAACTCCATCTGGGACTGTTGCCAGTACACTGACCATACCTTCCGAAGTGGCAGTCCGAAATGTGGTCAGCATTGCCCGCTCTCAAAGCCAGCAGTCATCTTGGACATCCTCCAACAATGATGTGATAGTAACTGGTATATACAATCCTGCCAGTTCATCTGGCAGACTAGTGTCTGCTAAGCAGACGAACACACTGATGAGTGATATGCATAAAAACTCTTTCCAGAGGCCCCCTGGGAAAAGTGATCCTGAATTTCAGCGGCAGCACATTGCAGTGGCACGCCAAGCACCCCACTGTAAAAATGCATCACTCTTCTTGGGAGAAAAAACAATTATCCTGTCAAGGCAAACAAGCGTGTTGAATTCAGCAAATTCCATTTATAATCACACTAAGAAAAGCTATGGTGGTTCTTCAGTTCAGACTGCAGAGTTGGTTCTACCTCAGAAGCCTGTGTTATGCCACAGACCATGCAGAGTGGAGCAGATGGGGTGCCAGAGGTTACAAAAGCCGGAGCATCCAATCCTTGCTTCACACATGCCGTCTGGGCAAAGGGCTAATAACGTTAGAGATCCTTCCTGCAGCACACACAACTTGGAGATCCGAGAGGTCTTTTCTTTGGCTGTTACGGATCAGCCTCAGAGGATCCTGGGAGGAAATGCACAGAAATCATTGTCTACTTCAAGAGAAGCCAGTTGTTTGTCAATTGCTATGGAAACTGGGGATGTGGATGATGAATATGCTAGAGAAGAAGAGCTGGCATCAATGGGTGCCCAAATACAGAATTACTCCAGGCTGAGTGGCTCATCTCTCAGAGCTGAGAATCCAAGCACGGGTCTGTCTGGGTCAGGCAGAAGTGTCAGCTGCAGTTCTCACATGGTGAATGCCAGGGACTTGCACGACAATATCTTGTATCATAATAGAGACTATCGCTTGCCTCCACGGACCTCCTTACATACCACGTCTAGTACACTGTATAGCAGCTCCTACCCATCAAGAAGTAATCTTTCGTCTCATTTTGCAGCATCCAATCAACTAAGGTTGTCTCAGAACCAAAATAATTACCAGGTAATTGCTGTTCTGTGTATTTTGTTTTATACACTTGTGCCTCACTATACGATTGCCCCGCATTACGATGAATCTGCTTTACAACGATCTTTTTGCGATCGCAATTGCGATCACAAAACGATGGTCTAAATGGGGGAATTTCGCTTTGCGATGATCGGTTCCCTGCTTCAGGAACCAATTCTTCGCAAAATGATGTTTTTTAAACAGCTGATTGACGGTTTCAAAATGGCCACTGGGTAAATAAAATGGCTCCCCGCTGTGTTTAGGGATGGATTCCTCGCTGTATAGATAGCGAAAATGACTGCTGTATGGAGGATCTTCGCTAGACGATGAGTTTTAAGCGCATTGGAACGCATTGAAAGGCTTTCAATGCGTTTCAATGGGCTTTTAATTTTCGCTTTACAATGTTTTCACTTAACGGCGATTTTCCTGGAACGGATTATTGCCGTTAAGCGAGGCACCACTGTACTGTAGTTTGGCCACAGGCTATTGAGGCCAGTAGCAGTTAAAAACAACTATTGTACACGGTTCTTTTGAAACTGTAGGCTTTCAGTGTCAGGACGCATGCTTCTTTTTGATTATCTCCTGTTCTTAGACCCTGTTTTGAATTTTAAAATGTACTTCATGTCTTTGTACAATGAAATAGTAAAACTTGTTGGGATATGTTTAATGGAAATAGTTCATAGACCAATTACAGGTTATTTTTCCATTTTTGAAAACCAGGACAATTGTGATTGTGTACAGTATTTGATGACATAAAGCTGTTAATTGGAAAAGTACCTCATTTTGTCTTGACAGTTTAATGTAACTAAATCTGAGTATACAGAAGCACATTGTTGATAGCTTTCATTATGTGCAAACATTTTTACCATCAGAAATTGTATGGTATTCTATTGAATGAAATTTAGTGGGCTCATGTGTCATCACTTGCGGCAGGTTTTTTTGGAAACTTAAACTTTTTGATAACCCCTCTCTCCACCAAATAGGCTCCCTTGGGATCCCTTTTGCCCTGGTGAGTTTTAGGTGCCATGGGACAGGAGATCTTTAATTTCATAAAATTGCTACTGATGATTTTTGGAAATTAAAGTGTTCCCCAGCAACTTTCCCACAGAGATCCCAAGGTAGCCTTGGAATTTTCAGGAGGGAATTGAAAAGTTTTGATTTCTGAAAAACCACTTCAGTTCAAGCTAAAACAACAGAGTTTCAGAATGCAGTGATGTGATGTGCTTGTTCTTGACCTGTTGTTTACTTTTGCAATGCAATTTTGGGCCATTTGAAAATAAGAACTTTTGATAGAATTGAATGATTAAACATGGAAAAGGGGTAGCAGATGTGAAAAATAGTATTTTAATTTTTAGAAGTTTCTGTCAGGAAATTTGTGCCTAACCTAATTCAAAATTGCCAGAATATATAAAATATTTACTAGTCAACATGTATCCATGCACCTATTCCAGGGTGTCCTTAGAAGAATGTGAGACCAGCTTCTCAAAAAGGAATTATTACTTTCTTTGGGCAAGTAATTTCTTTGGAGGCTGTACTTACCTTGCCAGATAAACAAGTCCTTATTTATCTAGTGGGGTGCAAACTAGCAAAGCATTAAACCCTCCCATACCTTGCTAGATAAACAAACAAGTCCTTATTTATCTAGTGGAGTGCAAACTAGCAAAGCATTAAACCCTCCCTAGTTTGCCTCTGGCCTCCAGTACTGGCATAGGGCATGGTGGCCCCATGTAGCTATTATGCCTGAGTGTGTTCTCCTTGTGACCCCTGTCATATCTCTATGGGGATACTGAACTCCTCAGGTTAATAATGATTGTTAACTTGCAGGCTGTACAGAAGATAGCACTTGATCCTCATCTAAATTGATAACACTACAATTTAGTGGTTTGCAACAGGCCTTGGACTTACGTGGTTGTTCCCTCCCCCACTGCAGCAGTGTTTCTGCCTCAATTTTAGGGTAATTAAAGCTTATGGCAGCTGAACCCAGACAAACTGTGCTTCATCTTAATTGTAATCAGTTGGAATAAGCTGATTTGGCACATTTCTTTCATAGAATAATCAATGGTACTGAATTTGGATGTGCATATGCAGGCCATTTCCTGCTGCATAAAGAGGCTGTATGTTTCCTCCACTGGCCATCTGTGCATGCAACAGATCTGGCAGATTTGTGGTGCACAGGTGTTTTTACACATTCTTGATTTTTGAAACCACATTTCCGTGACATCTGAACTTGGAAGAGGGCCGTTTCCTAAGCCAGTGGTGGGCAAATTATGGTTGTGCTGGAGAATGGGCGGGGGGTTTTCAACCCCATTACCCTTTGAGGATTGCATCAGTCCTTCTTTGTGAATAAGTCATGATCAGAAACAAAAGAAACCAAGAAGACTTTAATGAAACCAGACATATTCATAGAAGGGCAAAGGACTACATGGAGAAACATTTGTTTCCAGGTCCTATGAACCGTCATTTATTGGGCTAGGATTATGCCCTATGCCTGGACTAAGCCATTTCAAGAGAAGAAGAATTTATGGTCACTTTCTCAAAGGTAGGTGGTTTATAGACAATTTTCTGTTTTTGATCATGTTCCTCAGATGATTCTCTATTTCGCAGGCTCTGTGCCATCTGTAGACACAGATGCACCTTCTTGGTAATACTCCTTTTCTTTCTACAGATTTCAGGAAACCTTACTGTGCCTTGGATTACGGGTTGTTCCCGAAAAAGAGCAGTAAGTACTTTTCATGGTGAAAAGAAGTGGATCACGTGCAGACCTAGTCATTTTGAGGTTTCTGTATTATTAATGATCATGATTAGGAAGTTATATATTGTTTTGGTTTGAAA